CAGAGCATTTTAGCACTAATGAAAATGTTCTAAAATCGAGGTTATGGACACTTAACTCCGTGAATATACTAGAAGAGGACATTAAATCCTATCATTTAAGTGGAAGATCACATGGCATATAAATTAGATTTCAATAAAGCTATTTATAACAAAATAATATTTTCCTGAGTGTATTAGGAACACCTGTTTAATTCCTGCTCAACCTTCATTATTTAGAGAGCTTCTTTTGCAACATGTATCTTTTCACAGAATAAACTGCAAGTGAACTTATCCCTTTGCATGGCAAATGACACAGAGAGAAGTGTAAATGGACTTCACTAAGTGCACAACTTCTGCCCTGGATAATATATAAAAGTATAATCCAGCTCAAAGAAGAGAAAAAACCTCTATACAAAGCAGATCCTCTCTTTATTAAATCATTAATACCTCACATGTGATCTACAACGTGTGGATTTTGTAGTTTAAATCTCAAGGGACAAAATTGTTTCTTGTATTTATAATTTCTTGGTGGTCACTCTGATGTTCCATCTACCTCCTCCTCCAGCTACTGTTTTTGTTGTTGTTGTTTTTTGAGACAGGGTCTCACTATGTAGCTGAGACTGTCCTGGAACTCATTATGTAGCCCAGGCTGGTCTCGAACTCACAGCGATCCTCCTGCCTCAGCCTCCAGAGTGCTGGGATTACAGGCATGTGCCACCACGCCCCGCTGTTTCATTATCTTGATTTTGATGAAGTTGATTTTATGTTGCTCCATGGTCAGTTCGGTGCGTTTGTCAGTCTACCCACCTGTCTGACACCACTAACCGTGTTCTCCATTGCACATGATAAACTGGCTTTGAGTCACGGTGTCATCAGAGCATGGACAGCTCCTCCCTCCTTGAACTTGAAAGAAATTCAAGCCACATAAAAATGAACCTAGTATGTCATACTCTGAGATAAAAATGTAAAAAATGAACCCCCCACACACAGCACTTTAAGTGTCATCGAGGTAAGGTAAAATTATTTTTGGTCCAGCTGGAAATGGAATAGAATTTTAACTCAGAGACCCCACTCACACAACAGAGTTTGGATAAATACAAAGAGGACAGAGAAAATGCCAGGAAATCGCTTCTTAATCTAAACACAATAAATTAAGCCCATATTTGTTTTGATCCTTGATTTGTTAGAGAAGATGCAGTCCCACTGCAAAGATCGGTACGAATGCCTTTAAGAGACCACTGGTTTCACAGTGGAGAGAACCTGTGCTCTGGTGTCATACCTTGTGTCTCGGCGAACTCAGAGCTGAAGAAAACACTCGGGTACTTGGCTGCACAAACTAGAGGGTGGGATTCATACAACAGAAGAAGTTGTTTAAAATAAAACATCTGGACTGAAATTGTCCCATAGCAATACAGTTATTCTATGAGTGGGTCCAAAGGTGCTTTTCAAAATTGTGGCTGGCTGAAGACAGGTGTTTCCAAAATTAAACTGAGATTTCTACTCCTTTTCTAAATTTTACATTAATCCTAAAATCAAGATCTTCATTTTCTTTTGTCAGATAGGGGATGAGAAGAAGACAAAAATTCATAGAGAAGGCAGAATTCGTGCTCTGGGAGTGAGGTGATTTGGTTTTGGAAAGTGGGAGGTGACCTAGGATTAAAAGAGTTTCTTGGCCCTGTGGTCACAGCTCAGTTCTCTCTTTTCTCGTAATGTCATAAGGCATGCGGAGGGAATTCTTTTCTTTCCCTCCTGAGACCCAAACGAGGAGCAAACAGAAATAAAATATAATATATGCAGGTGTTTTTAAAGTAGACTTTTATGTGGCAATGCCATCATGGTCTCCTCTACCCTGCTCTTTCTCTCTTGCATGTATGACATCACGCACTTGATCTTAGAAAAGGTACTTGTGTCTAGATGTCCCCCCCAAGCCTCATGCAATCACAGATGGGGTTTTTTTCATAAGTGGCTGGAACAAAAGTGTGCGAGACTGGTATTGATTCATGGTACAATTCTAGGAGCAAGGGCACTGGGATTAAGGATTAGGTTGGGATTCAGACTGTGCACCTGGGCATTAGGAGTCCATCTGGGAATACACAGGCAACCATATGTAACCTAAAAGTAGCCCATGTAGAGTTGCCTTTCCAGTTACAAATAAAACAGAAGACAGCATAAGAGAAACTAGTATGGATTACAGTTGAGACGAAAATAATATTGATCAAATAAACATGAAATAGGGCAAGGAAACTAGAAGCCCCTTTTTAAAATGTTTATATATTATTTAAGTATTGAAATTTATTCCAATAGAGCTGGCTCAAAGTTTAAATATAAAATTGATTCTGCTTTTATGAAATCTCTTTTAGCATTCCCCTTGGCACATTTTCTGACAAAATTTGGTCATTTAAAAAAGGACTAAAACTTGGGAAACAATCATTTTGCTTTAATGGAAATTTTATTGACTTTGAAATTAAACAATTTTGAGTACAAATTTACACGGGGAGTGACAACCAAAAACTGGGGATTATCCCCAGGCTGGCTGTTCCCACCTTGAAAGTAGCTGGAAAATATGTAATTCAAGGATTTAATGTGCATAATGAATTCTATCTATTATTGTTATTCCTGAAAATTTTTTAAAATAAATGACATGATTGATAAAGTTGGACAATACAATTTGGCAGCCAAACGGAAGATGGCTTTTTTGTTCGTCATTTATAATTGCCTCTCGGGCCATGCCATAGAAATTATTCCCAGGTCTTTGCATGATGGGAATGAAGTCAACACGGGCACCAACAGCAAAAGAATGAGTACATGCTTCCACCGGCAGCACAGTTTTGGATTCTTATTGCCAGAACCCTTGTTTACAAAGCAGCCTTTGTGCTTCACAATCCTTCAAAGATTGCTCCCAGATGGAGCCTCAGTGATAGATGAATCCATATCCACGCAGAGCAGCCTCTAAGGAACCAGTCTGCCAAGCAGGGACAACTTAGCCAGCAAGATGTTACAGAGCCCAAGATTCCATCTGTGAGCCCGGCCCTTCCCCCGACGAGAGGGTTTCTCCGCCTTTATTCTTCTTCCCAGGGATTTACACCCGGATCTATCTATTTGAGGAAACCGCATAAGCCAGACAAGGAGAACTGAGGCCACACTGCTGCAGTCACAACAGAGCCTCCCTTGTTCCCGGTTCGCTGAGTGACCAAGAGAGCACCCGCGTAAGAAGAAGCTGCCTCATACCATGGTGGTGGTGATGAGGCTATGTCCCAAGGTTATTCAGATGCTGCTGATGGAAGAAGTCAGAAAGGTGAGGGAGTTAGGAAGGTGAGTGACCCACACCTCTCCGAAGTAGGTACAGGGTGACTATAAGCTCTCCCAAATGTCTTAGTGCATGTCACTACAGCAAGCAAACAGGAAAGTTCAGCCAAATCTCACCTTGGTGATGGTGACCCCTAACAGCGCCCTGAGATTCACTGCAGGGGGTTAAAAAGCAGGAGTAAAGCGTACAAAAGGAAGGGCAGATCAGACCTGCTGATAATGAGAAATCTTTCACATGTATGATATCACGGTTCACTGTATAAAGATTTCTGACCAGTTCATCATCTTTCTCCATGGAGTTTTTATTATAATTGCCCCTAGCTTCAGAGATGAAGTAAGCAAAACCTAAAGAGAGTCAGGGATGTGTTTAGTTGAACTTAACTGGAAAGTGTAATAGGCATTAAGACAGAAATCCAAAGCTCTGGAAGTCCATTCTTGGCCAGTTTCCCTCTGGCATCTCCATCTGTTGCCAGTGCTACAGCTACAATCCACCTCTATGGCTGCTCCAGGAAGCCACCTAGCACCCACAATAATCCCTAGTAGTAGTAATAGTAATAGTACAATAATAACATTTATGAATCACCATTTGCTATATGTTTATTTTACACCAAGCCAAGTGTTCTACCCTTTACATTAAATATCCCCTTTAACCCTTGAAACATCATTGAAGTAGAGGTGATCCTTACCTTTATTTTAGAAACTTATACCAAATGAAAGTTATATAAAAGTTTGTAGTTCCACATATAAAGGTTATGAAGTCATGCGAGATCATAAAGCTCTAGTCTGACTGATTACAGGGCTCAGGAATATGAATTTTAAACTCTCCTAACCAAGATGCAGTCTACCCTTCCTCCTAACCCACAAGCCCAGGAATGCTTTTAGCCATCATGATAGGTCCCCACACCCCACTGCACCTCCTTTTAATCTTCTACTTGTCTGTTAATCCCCACGTGTGGGAACAAGTGGAGAAATTAAGGTGCAGTCACAGATATTCAGACCCAAGTTTTCCAAAGCTTCCCCACAGTGGATAATCTGTTTCCTTACTTCCCCCATTGTGTAGCAAATATTTTTTCTCCTTTGACTTCACCAGGTTGCTATATACCTGTCAGAGGGATCCATGGGCTTAATAAAATAGCCCCAAACGATGTAAAAAACAATGCCAGCCTAAAATGAAGTTGTAGAAAACACAGTACTACTGGCTTCGAGGGATTCCATGAGCTGTTTTTCTTCTTGGTGCCTTTATCACTTAGTCTTCTCTGTGAACCTTTGGTCCCCTATGGCTGGCTCTAGCAGTTACTTTCCCTTAGTGTGTCACTAGCAGATCTAAATGATCTCAGAGCTCTAACATCATAATGAATGTAATTTTGTGGCTTCCCTGTATATTTTTCTGCTACCCTTCCTATATACTAAAAGGTAGAATTTATAATAAGTCTTGCAAGGAACTATTTTCTCTTGTGGGTTATGGTATTTGAAGCCTGGACGTCTAGGCAAAGAGCCAGCTTAGAACCCAGCAGTAGGGCTGAGTAGTCTGGAGTCAAAGGTTCTGCATGCCAGTCTTTTTCCTGTACCTGTCTCATTTTGTTCAGAAAATATGGGTGTTGTGGCTCCTTGGCAGTGACTGTGGTATTACTATGTGAATCTCTCACTTTCCCTCTCCTCCCTTTTACCCTGAAATGGTCAGGTTGGGGAATCTCTCAGGTTCCTTGCAGCTGTCACATGGCTGGGGTTCACAGGTGAAACTCAATGATGGCAAGAACTGTGTGCAGTTGCTGTTGTAGATGGAGGCTTTATTTATTTCGTGGTAGAGGAGATAGTGGAGGACAGGCTTGAAGAGAATGCTGTGGAATAAGGAGACATTGAATTTCAGTCGCAGTTACTTCCTACTCCTTTGTTTCCTAGTTCATTTGCTCAAAACGGTCCATCACCAACAAGATGGATCTATCCCAGGGCAGAAGTAGAGCAATGGCCATCATCGCCTGAAGCCTGACAATGAGCAGAGAGGCTGAAAGGTCCACTTCTTCTACTGAGAACCCGGGGAAACCACAACAGTACATTTAAAGGCTGAGCCCAGGACATGGAATTACACTTTGTAAAAACTTGTGATCCTCGTTTTCTCTTTCTCCTGCCTTTACCTTTGTTTAGCATCTTCGCAGTTCATGCCCGTGTTCAATTTAACAGAGACAAACTCTAGCAAGTCTTCCAACTTGCTCGTTTCACTGGTCTGTAACCACAGTAGTCTTTTGCTTTTATCATCTGATTCTAAATGTGTAAGTAAAGCCCTTCACTGGCTTCCTATTTCCTTCCAGACCATCCTCCTCCTTTAGTTCCCCAATAGAGCTGCCCCCCGCCCCAGCATATACCTCTTCTTTAAACCTCAGAGCCCGTTTCCACCCTCCTCCCTGTTTCCACCAGGTGTCATCCTACCCACTCCTGAAATCCAATCCTAGGGCTCTCATTCATCCTGAGGATCACTGTGGTTCAAAGCTTATCCATCTTACTTTTACCTGAATCCCAACTGAAATAAATTTATGAATTTACCCATCAGGTACTAAATATGTGTTTCAGAAGCTGATGCTGTTGAAAAGAAAAGTCAAGGTTTGTACCTTTCTTTGAGTTTAACACATTACATTTCAAAGACCCTTAATGCAAGAATGTTAAGAACAGGAAACACTGTGGAGGAAATAGAAAAGAACATAGATAATTTTCCACCCTAAAATACTAAGGGTTATTTTAAAAAATCAGAAGCAAAGATAGCATCTGAGGCCAGGTCTATCCGATATGAAAGACTGCACTACAGGAAGATGGACGCTTAAACTTTACGTAGGTAGAAGTTAAACTTCCACCAAGTGAGAGATGGTGAAAAGTGTGAGTGGTTCTATCTTATTCTTAAGGTGTCTAGGTTTTAGAAAATAAATTTCCTCTGAATTAATAATAATGTAAACTGTGAGTGAACACCCACAAAATAAATCTCAATGAGAAATAAGGAAACCAGTGCTACACTATTCTTCCAGAAAGTATAAGGAACCTCTTTCAATTCATTTTAGGACCCACTGTATTCCTCTGACTTCAAATCCAAAGGCAAAGACAAGACAAAAACATCTCAGAGAAAAAAACTGTGATTCAAGAGACCGTGACCCTTTCTACTTTTTCCACGCAAATGCTCTCTCATTGTTCAGAAAGACTCTGACTTGGATGCCTGTGAACTCCCAACAAGATAAATTCAGTTGCCAACAGAAAAACAGAAGGAACAGCAAGAGTGACAGCCTCACCCATAAAACCTATGAGCCCTCAATTTCTGAGAGCAGAGAATATGTGAATAACGCAAACCTCTTGTGCCGCCAGACCATCACTAACACATGGGCTCCCCCTCCAGCCAGCTGTAAAGGGTACTCCTGCAGGCAGTGCTCACTGCGGCCCCGAAAAGATGAAGATACTCATGGGGGGGTCTCTGTGAGCCTGACCACCTGCACCGTACCTCTTTCACCTTGCAGCTGGGGGTCGTGTTCCTAGGATTTACTCAGATTCTGATTGCTTTTGAAGACGTTAGAGTGGAAGTTTATGCCAATTACTGTCACCATAAATTCAGAACTTCAGAAAAACTCAACAACAAGCACAATGTGAAAGCTACTGACATCGTATCATTTAGTTAGAGCAGAAAAAGAACTTCTTTCAGCGATTTGTCTCTTCCTCGGTTATCTGAAGGGAACCGTGAACAGTTAGGTTTTCCCATTTCACTCTACTACGCTGAAAGAGAATGTTACTTCTAAACTGTAACCTAATTTGCATCATAGAAATTAGCCTGTACAAGTTGCATGCTTAAAGACGTTCCAGGGTTTGGGTTTATATCGAGATCTGTGTAAGCCTCATTCCACCTTTCTGATTTAACTAGGCTCCTTTCTGGTGCTACGCCCCAAATAAATCTTCTAGTCTTTCTGAGTGTCTATGGCTGACCCTCACAACTTTATTTTGTTGTTGTTATTGTTGTTTTGTTTTGTTTTTTTGGTACCAGGGATTGAACTCTGGTCCTTGTGCCTGCAAGGCAGGCAGCGGAACCAGTGGGCTAAATCCCCGGCCCCCTCACAACTTTAATTTGCAAGCTGAATATCACCTATTCAATATGCTCAATGCTTGCAGTGTTTCGGATTTCCAATTTTTATTTTTGGATTTTGAAATATTTGCATAGGCAGGGTATGGATGAAATATAGAGTGACTTTAAATTTTTAAGTTATTACAATAAAAGACAGATTGCCATTAGACCCTCTCAAAATACCCCTCAACACACACACACACACACACACACACACACACACACCTTGCTTCAAATATACTTGTCCTCTTGTTCTTGCCACTTCCTAGAGCAGCTCCAGAAGTCCCCTTTCATGAGTGTCTTTAGTTGAGCTGTTGTGGCTGCTTCGATGTCCTGAATGGATTCAAAACATTTACCACTTTTCCTGGTCATTTTGACTTTAGGAAAGATCTAGAACTTCCATGGTGGCAGATCCAGTAAATAAAGTGGTTGAGGACGCAGTGAAATATGTTTTTATGAGTCTGCCTTTCTATTGGATTAGATTCAGCAGGAGCATTCACAGTATTTTTTTTATCACACCTCATAATGACACTCAGAACTGCATCAGAAAATGGAGAGAATATGTCTTTTACTGTAATAAATGATTTTAATTTAAATAGTCACTATATGTTTGACCACCTCTTATTCATGATGAGATATTCTGGGAATGATGTCCAAGCTTAAAGAGATAATTCATCTACATTTCATAAATACCTTATACACATAGCCTGAAGATAATTTTATGCAATAATTTTGGTGTGCATGTTTTAGACCACGATCCATCACATGAAGCCAGGTGTGGAACTTTCAACTTCTATTGTTGTATCATCACCCAAACTGCTTCATATTTTAGAACATTTAAGATTCCAGATTTCCACATGTGTAAATACTGAATAGTTTCTCTTGTGTGAATAATCTGCAATAACACAGAAGATCCTAATAAGATTACTGACATTTAGAAATGGGAAGAAAGGAGCTAAAGGTGTAGGGAAGGTGGGATGGGTAGGGGAAGGGTAAAAAGGGAAAAGAAAAGAAATGTGAGATAATGAAAAGATGGAAATAAAGTGTTTGTAGATGGGGAGGGGAGGAGGGGGTGAAGGGAGGGCAGGGACAAGGGGGAAAAATGAGAACCAAGACTTGTCATGTAGAGGTACAAATTCCCAACTATGAATGTAACTGTACTGTATCCCTAAAATGTACCAATAAACTCAATTAAAGCTGAAAAACAAAGATTCCACATTTCATATTACAGGTTTTCAACTTGTATATTTTCTTTTTGACTCAGCTCATTGATTGTGAATCGAAGGCCAGATACGAGGCCTGCCCCGCCCTTTTACCATCACCACCCATACCCTCCTCCACCCTTTCCCAGGTCACTGACACTGCCAGCTCCTCTTTGCCCAGATGCAAAATCTGCACCCCTCCACTCAAGGAAAAAGTCTGGAGTCAACTCTGCTCGGTACCTGCTGACAATGAGGACCTATCTCAGATGTCCTGCAAGGCCCACTAAGACCCATTCGAGGTCAGCAGTAAGTATTCCAAGTTAGACTTCTCTTGAGCTCTGTTTATTTCCGCTCAGGAGTTCACAGACATACCAAAGCACTGGGTGAAAATAAACTGTGCACTGACACCTAGAATCCTGCCTTGGCTCTGTGAGCAGGACATAAATGTCTGAGCCTTTCATGACCCTCTTACCATCTGCCACCCTCCATCGTGATCTAAGGGACCAATGGCCAGTGCAGCGGGACCAGTGCAGCATGGGTACACCGAGCACCCTGTGTGCGAGCCTGCCCCTGGGTCCTGCACGCCTCAGCAGGGAGTGGTGCCAACAGGGATGGCATCATAGTGCCCTCTAGTGACAACCGAACTGTGTCCCTCAGTCTGTGACAGGAGCCTGGAACCCCTATTTTGCTCCACTGAAAAAAAGATGGCTTAATAATTTGATATCTGGTGCCTCTGTACCTCGTCAAGGACATATACCTCGGCAGTGAGCAAGTATTGAAGACTTTCAGAATTCATCAGACTTTTTCTTCATGTACAAAGTCCTCTGATGCTCTTTTATCAAAATAGCTTTATGGAGATCAACTTAAATAATATAAAAGATCGTCTATGATATGTAAACAAATCCGTGTTTTTTTTTTCTCAACACATTTACAGAATTCTGCCTCCATCACAATCTCATTTTAGAACAGTTCCATCACCCCACAAGAAATCTAGTACCTTTTCAAGTTCCTCTCCATTCTTATCTCCAGCCCGCCACATCCACTCTCAAAATTTCCGTCTCCGAAGATTTGCCTCTTCCGGACATTTCGCACGAATAGAATCATGGGAAGAGTGGTCTTCCGTGTCTGGCTTCTCTTTCTTGGAGGAACGTTTTGAAGGTTCACACCCGCTGAAGGTGAATCCAGGTCTTATTTCCTTTTTGCGCTCAGAGAGTACTCCATCATACGGAGGACCGCGTCCCACTGTATCGATGTTTACATCTCGTGTTTATCTATTCACCCATAACACTGTTCCAGTAACAGTCTTTATGAGCTGAGGCGTCAGCGTAGTCACCACCTCTCATGAATTTTAAATGGATTCTGAAAAAGTCCAAAAGTAGACTCGTCATGAGGGTAGGAAGACTTCCCAGGCTCACCTTTGCCAGAATGATGGTGTCCATTGGTCTTTGCAACATCCCTGCTACCTTCAGTCTTTTTACCATGAAGTTACCTCTAAAGTTTGTGAGGGTGTTACATTGAAACAAATGTGAGACAGTCTCTGCCCACTTAGCTGAACACTTTTGTTTTTGTACCAGGGATCAAACTCAGGTCCTTGTGCTTGCAAGGCAGGTGGCGGAACCACTGAGCTAAATCCTCGGCCCTGAACATGCTTGATTGTCTTTTCAACATCACTCCAGAGTGACACTAACAACTGAGGTCTCAGAAGTGGACTTCCTGTCCATCCACACAGCGCCACCCCTGCTGCACTCCAGAAAAATTACAATCCTTCAGGAAACCCCTACCTGCTCAATCTAGGATTTTCCACATTTTCCAACATGCACCAGAACTTTATTATCCACTTCACATTTCAATTCTCCAACAGGCTATAGCGTAATATAAATGACCCTCAAGAAATGGAGCATGTCACATTCCCTGAAGCCACAGTACTATTCCCATCACTGTAGACTTATCTCTACCTCTGGTCTTCCACAGGCAAGTTCTGACAAACCCCTGCCTTGCAGTCCTCTTGATCAGCATTGCTGCCTTTTATCTGAAAGCAGGACCCCAATTTCCCTGAGATGGAATATCCTCCATTATTACATTAGTTCCATACCTGTGTGGACAGCTAGGCCAGGGTTACCGAAATTCTCTGGTCTTAGTGAAAAACAGCGTGGCACATTCCGAAGACACAATAGAAATTACAGTCTTTCATAATTCTACCAAAGTCTTTGGAGCGTATGTAAGCAAATGAATAACTATTTCTTTGTATGAAAACATTAATTGAATATTTAAGACCTAGATAATGTCTCTTGCCTACTATGCTGTAACTTCACTTTGAACTAGAAGTCAAAGTGTCAGACATCCGTGCTTTTCTTATTTAATACTGAGATTCACTAATGTTAAATAAATAAAGTGGGTTCCAAGAAACAGTGAATGATTCTTGTTTCAGTTTGTGTTTCTTCTAAGGATGATGCAAGAACAGCAAGCTGTGCTTCTGAAACAAGGTAGTGGGCAGCATCAGCATTCATCACAGAACCAGCTCACTGCTTCATGGTAGCTCTGTAATGTGAAGGAGGTGACTCGTCTAAAAGTAAGTTCAGGAGCCTTGACTGAAAAATGGGGAGGAGAATGTCTGCCTCTGTCATCTTTGCTAGAACTGATGAGAAGAAAGATCGATGGGTGCAGTTTTAGGAAGGCAAGAGATGGGGATTTCAGACACAGGGTTTTATTCTTAAGTCAAACAACACTTGGATGGATGACGTTGCAAGGACCCTCTCTGTATCGCAGTGAGCAGCGTGGGCACAATAATGGAAAACTGCAAGGCAGCCCAAGTAGCTCCGATTTTTCTTATGAGGGTAATAGCTATGACTAAAAATCTAATAGCAATCAAAAGTGAGTCCCGGGGGGCGAATTCCCTTCCTTCAGTGTTGCTGAACAATAGCATCAGCTCTTTGGATGTTTGAGAGCTGATGCATGTCCAAGGGTGCTGCAGAGTTGTATAACTAAAAATGGCAAAGGCTCTAAAATAGATTCTAAAAAATAACAGAGCTGAGCAGCTGCAATAAGCATGTAATATCTGAAGAACGCTGAGCCTGCCCATCTTCTAGTTTTGTGAGGCTCTACCAAAATCCTCCCTCTACCTCCCCCTTTACAGCACCTCTCTCTTCCTGTCACCTCTACCCGCAAAAGGAGAAGTAACAGGGTTACAAGGGAGACGGTCAGCCTGCATTCAGACACTGCTTACTTTTGACTTAGTTCCCTATTCTGATTTCATTAAATGAAGCATAACAAGACATTTACACTAAAAGCCAGTACACACTAAAGACTTTAAGGTGACACTGTTTACTTAATTTTCACTGTAAAATTAACAGGAATTCACCATTATTGTAAAGGCTGTGCCGCACCTCCCTGGCAAGCACAAGGCCCTGCATTTGATCCCTGGTACCAAAAATAAATAACTAAATAAAAGTTATTAGTAGTTCTATTTTACAGAATAAGAAATAAAGATCAGCTTGTGTGACTTGCCCAGAATTATTCCGTTAGTAAATAACAGAAATATAACTTGAACACAATCATTCTGACTCTCTTAATTGCTGTGGCTGCAAGAATCCCATATTTCTCAGTGAATTTTGCTGAAAGCATAGTTGATACACTGATTTCCTACTATGTATTTGATAAATGTTTACATTTCCCCTTTTTGCCTCTTTACATGGAACCAAACTTCCTTATCCACTGTCATCATTCACGCCATAATGAAGATCCCTTTGAAGGAATCTGAACTAATGCTTGCAACACAAACTATGATCCATACCTGTTCAGAGCAATTGCTCTCCAATCATGCTTAAAGAGCCACATTTTTTAAAATTTAGCCAAATTCTGAAACCAAAGAATGACTCACTTCCTCTGAAAGCTCACGACCCACAATGTTAGGTGTGAAGCTGGAACATTTTCCCAGAAAGATATCCAGGTATGTGATACGACGTCTGAAATCTTGGATGAAGAATTTTGCAAAGGTAGAAGAAAGTCTTTGGAGTTTGGAAGGCTTTCGTGTCCACTGGGCAGTACACAGCCTATCATCTCTCCATCCTTTAATGGCCATCATCATTGCTTAAAATTGGTAGAAGTTAAATGTACTTAGAAATTAAATTCTGCTTCTCTACTGACCTGACCTTAGATTAACAGAGACAGGGATCTAAAGCAAACGTGGTCTTATGTATAATCAAGTTCCTGTTGGACGGTTCAGAAAATGCCGCATTTAAAGGAAAGTGATCTGTATGTCTGAGTGAAATATCGCTGTACTCCTTGTACACTTGCAGTGGTTCAGGCTTATTTTAAAGGAGTGGAAGCCCAACCAACACGGAAGGCGGCAATGGAAGACTGATAGCCACCACCAGGCAGGCAGGCTTCTGTGGACGAGGGCCCATCCACTCGTCTGCAAGGTGTGCTGCCTGAGAAGCTTATTTGAAGTAATTTAGCCCTGAGAAACCTGGTTTAAACCAATCGGACACACATGGGATTGATGTGGTATTAGCAAGCCACTTAAATAAATTACAAGGAGAAACCGCGCCTGCCAGGATTCCTGCTCTTGCGGCAGCTAATCGGGGCGCTCCCTTTCCAGTAGGGACTGGGGCTTGGGAGCTCAGCTGCACTACAGGCGCTTGCTGGAGAACTCAGTCATAAAT